GGTATTTCATTTGCACTCCAATTGTCATTTCCTTAATGAAGACAGATGAAGGAAACACCAGGTTAAGAAGCCCGTATCCTTGCAAGTAAAAACAATACGCCTCTGCTCAGCCCCAGCAAAGGTCCTGCCTTGCACGCTTTTGCTTTGATAACAATTGGGATTTTCTTTAACTGTTTCTGCACTGGGGTCACTCCTGTCTTTGAGGCAGCCATTCCTGAAATGCACAGTAAATAAAATCAGAATTAGGCCTAATGTGACCCTCTGCTCCCATCCCTACTGCCAGTTTGAAACAACACATTTCTAACAGCTTGGTTTAGCCCGGGATCCCAAGTGCAACACCAGCGAACCCTAGACAGCCCCACAAAAATAGAAGTGCATCGTTCCTGTATTACAGCTGAAACACAGGATCCTGGAGAAGTGTTGCAAGACAAGCCTGTATCAGAGCTTAGCCCAGACGTCCTGTTTTGCCTCCCTTCATCATGATAAGCTTCTCTTTTTCCATTCGAAAGAACCATGTTTTAAGCAAGCAATATTTTCCTCCCACTTCCTATGCTGCAATCTTTCCCTTGAATTGGGTGGTGGATCCTCATCACTTCTTCCAGGAAGACAAGAGGATCACCACTTCATTGCAACGTACTGCAGGTTAATGCCACCATAGAAAGCTCTAGGAAGCATGAGGTTTTGAGGGTTCAGAGCTCTGAAATTCATATGAGAAGGAGAGAAGGTGGAAGATTACAGACTAGCACCCAATTCTCTGACACCAAGAGGGCTTTGACCTCAAAGAGAACAGGATCTGACTGTGGGTTTATGTACATCATCATACAACTTGCATTACTTTGATCTGCTTTCCTGTTGTTTAGCAGCGAGACGTGCACATCTCCACATGGCCAGGAGTTCTTGGCCATTTGTGGTACACAAGGATACCAGTACAGTCATCACTTTAAGTAAAAGCTCTCCTTTGTGTCTTCCCAGCAAGGAAGCTCTTTCCCCCGAGATGTTGGGATATTCTTTGACAGTGCGGGAAGGCAGAGTCATCTTCTGCTCTCTAGATACTTCTGTAATGCCCTGCTCCACCTCCTCACCCAGTATCTCTGGCTCTTCTACTTCTTCCCTGTAGCTCTGAGCACCTGCAACAAGTTTTAAATCTCCACTTTATTTCCCAGAGGAGCCATCTCATTCTGCATTACTTCCCTTAGTCATTATTTCTCATTTGATGTGACAATGCATCCATTCTCCAAAGCACTTCGGGACACTGTCCACATACAGAATGTGCTGTATTAGCTACCAGACACCTCCAGAAGAAAAACCTGGTCCAGAGTTTAATGTGACATTTCAGCCTTAGGGGCAAAGCCAGCGACCATAGAGCTAATCAGAAAAGTCCTCATGGCCACGTAGACCTTTCTGTACGATCAGCAACTCACCTCTGTTGTTTCACCCCAGGGTGAAGGTAGGAAAGGTCAACTCTCTATGAATCATTCCCTAAGAAAACATCCCCAATTAAAATATAAACCATTGCTGCCACAACACCAGCTTCATTTTTAGAAGCAGCTTAAAATAGAGTGCGTGTTACCGTGTGAAAAACCATCTCCTCTCTGCTTTGGTTAAGGATGACATAAAAGCAACGATACACCCTCCTCTGTGGAGAGGCACTTCACACCCTGCACCAGGATCACTGCACACCACCAAGCTAAGAGAACAGACTGAAAACAAAAGGAGGGGGGGGAAGTACAAAATGGATCTTAACACCTCAATGAGATACCAGGATTAAGGACAGGAATGTAAAGGGATGAGACAATGAAGATTTTGGAAATAAAGGCATATTTCCCCCTAAAAAGTGAAAAGAAAGAGCTGTTGGGAAAGGGTTTTGGTTTCTGATAGCCAACCCTGGGTCTGAAACGGATGCTGATGCAATGTGAACTCTTGGTTGCTGCTCTGAAACCATGCAAAGACTTGACATATCCTGATCTGGCAGTGCAGTACACTCTTCTGCACCAGCAAAGTAATGGAAAAGGAAAGGAAAACAGCCCTTGGCAGCAGGGTGCATCACTGCACCAACACCATAGGGTGCCTGTCCCTTGAAATAGGCTCCAGTTGACACAAGGACTTGAGAGGACATCCAATCCTCAGGTATCCACCAGAAACCATTGCAGATAATGAAATCTGTGCCAAGAGCAAATACTTTTCCACAGTTCCTAAAAGGGGCCTGTAGGAAAGATGGGGAGGTACTTCTTAGCAGGGCCCGTTGTGAAAGGATAAGGAGTGATGGGTTTACACTAAAAGGGAAGATTCAGGCTGGATGTGAGGAAAAACTAGTTGAGGATGTCCCTGCCCATTGCAGAGGGTTTGGACTAGGTGGCCTTTGAAGGTCCCTTCCTACCCAAACTATTCTATGATTTAACTGATAAAGATGTAGAGTAATGGTCATAGCATCCACACAGGAAAAATCTTCTGGTCTTTCAGACTTGCAAAACTCAAAGCCATCTTAATATTTTGATTGAAGCTTTCAAGGAATAAATATGAGAATAGAGGGATGAATCTGATGGAAAATTACCTCCTCTGACAGCTACTGTTCTCCAACCTTCGCTATACGCGGATACATATGGGCAGGGACATATGCAAAGCCATACAGTTTTGTTTAGTGAAAATCAGAACAGCTTTTCAGAAATGGAAAACAGTAAGGGGGGAAAAAACAGGGAAAAAAGTGATGGGAAAAGTCAGTGGCATATGCAAGTGAGAAAAGATATGGCTTCTGGTGGGACTCAAGTGGAAAATTACAGAGGGACTGCTCCAGAGAGGGAAAGCCAAGTGTGGGATGGGGCAAGGGTGCTCTGCAGATAAGGGGTTTGGCCATACCAGAGGATCAGGAGCAGAAATAGGCTGTGCCTGAGGGGAAATTTGGGACCATCCTCAAAAAAGAAGCTGTGAGAAGAAACCCCCCCAGCACAGGGGTAGCTGGGTCAACTCCAGATGGGCAATATGGGAAAGGTGACAGGAGATGGATTTGCTGACAACACAACATGCAAGAGGAGATGGAGAACTAACGGCTGGCTCTAAATGCTGGATACAACACAATTCTCCCTGAAAGCCCAAGCAGCCTGAGATTTAGACACTGCCCCATGTGAAACAAGCCAAAACTACTGCTAAAACTCATCAAGATTTCAAACAAAACTCCTTAGATGCGCTTTTATTTCACATAATTAAAAGCCAGATGGCTAAATTAATCCTAATTAATGTGATTAGGATTATTGCAGTGGTAGGAATCATTTACTGGTATCAGAAGCTTTTTTTCCCTTCTCTCCAGAAAGAATTCCCTTTGTGCACCTGCTTATAACACCACCATACTAGATAGCACATCCAAAATGCAATTCCATTACGGTCAGGAAAGATTTCATGCACTCAGTGAAATGCAATGAATAAATACAAAATCATTCACATTATGTACTCTCTACAGGGATATTTAAGGCTTTTTCCTCCAAAGTAAATCAGTTTTATGTAGTTGAAGTCCTTGAAAATATCAAGTTGCAAGTTTTTGTTCACAGCACTTCATTTCTTCTCAAATTCTTGGAACTTTGGTAAAGACACACAGGTCACAGAGGAGGGGATGAGAAGTAGCATTTCTCATGCAGCTCACTCTATGAGCCCAACGCAATACTGGCACCCTGTGCCTCAGTTTACCCCTCTGCAACATGGGAACAGTATTTCTGACCCTATGGCAGAGGTGCTGGAAATCCTAATTCACCGTCAAAGCTCTGAATTCCAAGGAGAATGGCAGGTAGAAGTTATGTTTTCCCATTTAAGCTTTAATTTCCAGAAACAGCAAATGTCACAGAGCAGACGAGGTTTGAAACAGAGCGCTGTTCTGAAAAACATTTATACCTTTAGGTGCAGCTACCAACAAACCCCAGCTTCACACTCCTCTTTAAGAGGAAAACCAAGAAACTAATTCTCATTTGAGTTCATTTGCAACTCATTTCCTTTGGGCTCCATCCACCGGTTTTGTTTCCATATCTTATTTGTTCAGCAGTGACAGGGACATAAGCAGTGGCTGTCCACTGTATTTTTGGTCTCTGTGGGCAGCAGCTGGCTCTCCCCCCTGCATTATATATATGAGCTTGGTCTATAAAGCTGCATTTATCAGACCCCATGGAAATTCCTAAATCTCGGAATACTACACCTTTTGCCATCTGCACCAAAATGAACCTATGTAATAGTCCACTGGCACAGAAACACAGTGTTTGAGCCAGAGGGTGAAAATGCAAGCAAAGGACATAGACATCAACTGGGACATAGCCTTGCTGCCATCCACAGCAAGTCCAACACACCCCCACCATCACCCACAACTGCTTCCTTGGCTAGTAAGGCATGAAACAAACTGCATTTGCTTTCCTTCCCTCTGGATCTCAGCCCCAAACACTCTTCGTGAAAGAAGTATTTGCAAAAGGGACACTACAGGATGTGAACAGGAGGTGGGTTTTCCATTGAGAACAAAGGCAAAAAGAAAACTGCAACAAATAGATGGGGAAAAGTTGCCTATTTTCGAAGGAAGCACAGCTTCTACTCTTTCAAACTAGAGAAAAGGTAGAGTCACCCTGTTAATTATGCAAGGTGCTGTCATAAAGGCCAGGTTGGACACAGGGGCTTGGAGCAAGCTGCTCTAGCAGAAGGTGTCCCTGCCCGCGGCAGGGGTTGGAACTGGATGAGCTTTAAGGCCCCTTCTAATCCAAACCAGGCTGGGATTCCATGACTCTACAGCAAATTTCTCACTACAAATCTTCAAGAGGGCTGATGAAATCTCTTGCTTTTGGACACAAACCTCATCATCCCAGGGAGCTGCTTTGACTTTTGTACCTTTTGCAAGGCAAATGCATCATTGCAGGATGCTGCCACAATGTGCACTGCCAAAGGAAAAGACGCATTGAGGGGGTGCCCAAGGTGTCCTAGCTCTCGCACAATTTGGTATCTTTAAGATTGATTTGAATGATGGAACACAGAATGCTTACTACAGTTGCTGCTGATACCAGGCTGGGACAGGCTGAAAGTACTTCGGAGGCCAGGATTAGGATTCAAAATGATCTTGATAAATTGTAGAAATGGTCTGGAAAAAAACAAGGAGAAAGACAATTCAGAAACGATGGATGAGCAGTGCTAAGACAGGAATCACCAATGGCAAGGGAAATGATTATTATCAGCTCACAAAGTTGGGGTTTTCTGGGGGGAAAAGGATCTCAGGATCACCACAGATCACAAACTGAACAGGAGCTGAACACAGTCACGTTACTGCAATAAAACCAAACGTCTCGCTGCAATACAGAGGTGAACTTTTCACCAAGGAACTTCTCATTTACGTAGCACAACTGGAGTTCTGATATCGGACACCACATTTCCATAAAGGTCTGGAGAAAGTCCCAGTGCAGGCAGCGAGAATGATCACAGATTGAGAAAGCACAGCCTGGAAAAATCAGTGAAACAAAATCACATTCATCTGGACTAAAGAGTAAAGACAACAGGGAGGCATCAGAATGGTCTTCAAACATATCAACAGGGTCACAGGAGAAACAAATAAACTATCCTCTTGGCTTGTCAAGAGTAGCACTTGATGTCATAGTCCTAAACTGCACCAGGGAACACATGTTAGACACTAGGAAGTTTCCTGACTAAGGGAAGAAGTACATTACAACAGTTGAAGCCCCATCCACCACATGATCCACACAGCAAACCCATCTTTCCCCACTGCTGTCTATGCAGACCAGGTAGGGGAAAGAGTATTATTATGTCAGGATTATGGAGAAGAAAAGGACCTGAAGAGACCAAGTCGTGTGTCAATGCCTACAGAGGATCTGCCACAATAAAAGAAAAGCCCTGTCCAGTGGTGTAATCTCTGCTTAGGGATATATTAAAGTATATTCAGCAGAGGTCTCACTCAGCTATTTGCAGATTCACTGCTTGTGTCAGTACATAATAGGATCTCAGAACAGTTTTACTCTGCCTTCCCACGACATGCAAAACACCCATTAGCAGGTGAAAGACTGCAACAGCAATGCTCACAGCACTAATTTCTCATTAGAAGTAACCTGCCCAGAATACCGATGGGGCTGGAGGGCAGGAGTGTGATGGCTGAGGAGTGAGAGCAAATACTGCTAGCAATTTCCACTGAGTGCAAAAACAGATGTGTAATAAGGTGCTGTCCCAGTCTGGCAGGATGCTGATGCTACAGCGAGGGCTGCAACAGGCACCTCACCTGGGCTGGCAAAGGGTCTCACACCTTCCTTTGAGAGGCACAGGGAGATCGTGGTCCAGGCACAGTCTTCCCTCTGCACTCCCAGTGAACAGGCAGCCTCTGCTATCTGCTGAGATCTTCACCAATGCTCTCAAGAGACCACAGCAGGGCTCACTGAAGCATCGTCAAGCCCTGGCTGCCACCTGGCTATAGACAAGTTAGGAAAACTCAGGGCTAGAACAGGTACTACAGATGCTTTCATCAGAAGTGAATTTTCATTTCAATAGGAAGATAATAATAATAATAATAGTAATAAAAGCAGTAACAGTAAAGAGAGTATTTCAGAAGCAGACAGTGATGCTACCCAGTGCAAAACTGCCCTGGCTTTAGCAGAGTATTACTGCTGTATCACTCCTCTACCACCAAGGCTTCTTCAGAGCATCTCTAATCACAGCAGCTGAAACGCCAGTGGGAGTAAATGCTGGCCTTTCCCCCTTGCTGCTGCATAAACATCTCAACAGATTTCCTTTATGCTGTCTTTGACAAACTGAAGCTCCAGCCTTTACTCCAATTTAGTTCAGGAGCATCTTATGAAATAGGAGGCAGATTTCTGTTGATAAGTAACATCAATCTTAACCGGGGGGGGGGGGGGGGGCATCTGTCCCTTCTCGACTTTGAACAGAGAATACCAGATTAAAAGGGAAAAGGGAGGAGGGTGGAAGCAGCTGTCCAGGCACTTGAGATAAAGCAGCTGTTATCGCCCTCTCCAATGAGGATGTGTGCTCTATCTCCAGGCAATGACTGTGAAAGCAGTTTGAACACAGGTTACAAATTCATATCCCAGCCAAGCTGTGCTCACTAAAGCAGAGGAGGGTCATTGCTCCTGTGACGTTACATTATGGGGTGGTACTATCAGCTACACTGGGCAGCCCACTGCTCCAGCCATCCTCGTCAGGCAGGGAGGGGCCTTGCTGCTTCTCCTTTTTTGTTGTATAAAAGCTTACAAAACCATTTAGATGAAAAATCTCCATTTCAGGTTGAAAACAACTTTGTAAATCACACAACTAGTCTAGCACAGTGACACCTGGCACATCTCCTTTGCAATGACTGTGGACAGGGCTAAGAAAATTGAGGCTGTTCAGCCTGGAGAAGAGAAGCTGCGTGGAGACCTCAGAGCAGCTTCCAGTGTCTGAAGGAGGCTACAAGGATGCTGAAGAAGGGCTCTTCATCAGGGACTGTAGCAATAGGACAAGAGGTGATGGGTTTAAACTTAAACAGGGGAGACTTAGGTGCTGCATCCCAAGCAGACCTGCAGGATAAGAAACAGCTATTTAAATGAGCAACTGAAAGCATCCAGGGTCTTGATTCAGCAGCTGAGAACAGGTACCAGCAAAGCTGCCGATCTCAGGAGGTAACAGCACTGAGGGACTACATTTCTGTAGTGGGTATTTACCCGCTAGGAAGAAGAAAAATCAGATCCACCACTGATGTGCTATTTCACCCTGCTGACAGGAAAGAGCTGGAAACAGCCATTGCTTCTGAGCTTAATTACATCAAATCTTCTGCGGGTGAGGGAAAAGAGTACTTCATGAGCCAAACCCCAAAAAGTTAATATATTATACTGCAGCAAGAACATAGCATCTTCAAAGCTTTCCCTCCCCACACCCTCAAGTGTGAAATCAGAGCTACTTTTTTTTCTCAGTAATGCTTTTTGCTCATTTCCTGCCTGGCCTCATACTCATATAACAATGAATCAGGATTAATTAACATCAATGTCAAGATTAAGATCATGCCTAACCAGGACTTTCTTGTCATCTTCTAGGGAATTAAACTAAAGCCACATCATGACGGGCTGACCACACAGCCAGGCTGGGCTACCTCTGTCGACCCATGGGGAGCTGGTGCTTCCAGGTGAAAGCAGCTTCCCTTTAGCACAGATCTCTTGCTTTGGGGAAACAGACAACCTCCCCAAGCTGGTTCTTTGTTTCCCATGAACCTCTCCTAAACCAACCATCACCATTTATTTTCACATTCCCAGGCAGGAAGCAAGAAGCCATGCAGAAGCCAGCAGCTGTGGTCTGAGGTGATCAAGATACACTTTTAGCATAAGATACTGCAAGTCATAAGCTAGTATAGAAAGGAAAAACAAGTCCAGCAGTCTGTGGTGCTCTGAAATCAGACATGAGTAGCTGAGAAGAAAACTTCCCTAGATTCTCCTCCAAATATGCACTTTGGACCTTTATCAGGCTCTATATTCCATGTTTGAGCAACCTCCTCTAGTGGAAGGTGTCCCTGCCTATGCAGGCGGTTGGAACTGGATGAGCTTTCAAGTCCTTTCCTATCCAAACCAGTCTGGGATTCTATGATATTCTCTTAAGGTTGATTACTATCAATTAAGCTATGAACTTCTAGACAGCTTTTTGTATGACGAAGGAGACCAGAAGCTCTTGTCTTTCTCATCTGGGCAATTACTCATCAGGCATGAACTGGTTTGAACAGCAAGTTCAAACCAAGAGTTGCAGCAAAAAGGTGGTACGAAACCACCTCTCCAGCCCACACAATGCAGCAAATAGGTTCAGCATCACCACCACTGTGATGTCTTGATTCAAAGACCCTCAGGAAATCAGCAGCCCCCCCCCCCCTTTCCCAAGTTTTGGATACAAATTATAAACACAATGTTCTTAACAGAACTCTGCTGTCAAGCATGACATAGTGTCTATGGCAGTCTCTACAGCTACTCATTCATCTTTCCTACAGCCCTATCAACAACGTACCAAGAATAACAGAAAAATTATTCACATGGCACATTTCTGGTGCTCCTTGGTTTTATTTTACTTCAGTATTGTAGAAGTTAAAAAGCATGGCCTGTGCCTTTAGAAATCATTAAGAGGAGCAAAGAGAGTCAGAAATACGGGGAAGTGACACTTCTGCAGAGCAAAAGTACTCTGCCAAACTAAGGGAAGTGGAGCGAGGCTATGAACTAAGACTGAACCAAGAGTTCATGGGGCTTAAGTTTAGGATGTAATCAGTTATAGAAAAGAGTGTAAGAAAGCAAACAGAACGCTTTGCAGAACGCTGGCCTCCATCCCTCAGCAGAAACCATCTTCTAGGCTGTTATTTCAGTAAAAAGTAAGATGGCCAAACATATGTCCTAATGACTCAGTAGGATAAAAACCTTTGCTTAATCAGTGCAAAATGAAGAGTTTCATTCTCCAACCTCCAAAATACAAATGCCCAGGCTCCTCCCAAGAGCGAGCAACCAGAAAGATCACACCACTCTTCTCACCCCATCAGCAGCGAGGGGAGAGATGACACCTCCTGCAGTTCCCTGCAGTGGTCTGTGGGCTCACACTGAGGTCCACAGCAGGAGCCAGAATCTTCGGAGGGTTGTAAGGCCTGATAAAGCTACCCTGCAACAAGATGAGCTCCAACCGAAGCGCATCACCGCACTGCACGTACTGAAATGCCACAGTATTCTCATGTCCCCGGCCTTGAAGCTCCCACAGATGAGCAATTTCTATGCTACCACTCACTTCCTTCAACCTTTTCATCCAAAGGACAACACAAAAGCGTAACCTTGAGCACAGCACCCAAGACTAATTGTGATTTCTCAATTCCACTCATGGCACAGACTCAGTTTGTGGGGGGGGGTTGCCCTTATGGGAGAGGGAAAATAACAGCAGCAATTCTCTTCCGTGCACAAAAGTTCTGCTCTCCTTTTGCTGGATGACACACCAAAGAACCACAACTGCACAGCCCAAAGGAGGCAAACGGCTGATGCAAATGGAAAACAATGCAGCAAAAGGAAGCAATTCTGTAAGGCGATCACTTTGTTCTTTCAGGGGTTTTTTGGGGTACCTTCCTTCCATAGAAAGTTT